CCCCCACTCAGCCAGGTGCCTCCAGGGCCGGTCTCTAGCCCCAGCACCCCCACTCGGCCGGGTGCCCCCAGGACCAGTCTGCCAGCTCCTGCTCGGCCGGGCTCCTAAAGGGCCAGTCTGCTGGCCCCAGGGCCCTGCTCGGCTGGCTCCCAGCCGCGCTGCAGCCTGCCCGCTGGGATCATTTTTCCAGCATCCAAACCATGCTGGGCACCTCCAAGGACAGACACAGCCCCTGCCCTGAGTGGGAGGGGTGACATTGGCACAGGAGGGAGGGAACTGGGGTCCCACACCACACTCAGGCTGTGACTGGCTCGACATGGGTGGGGCTTGGTGCTCCAGTGGGCACCATGGGGCTCCCAGGATCTGAGGGGTGGGCACAGGCAGCAGGGGCAGGCCAGGTGCTGGCAGGAGGGCCAAGCTTGGGCATGGAGACAGGTGCCTGGCCCAAGGGCTGCTGCCAACTAGCCAGTAGCCATGCCCCTCCCCCAGCCTCACAGCCCTTTTCTCCTGTTCCCAGGGGCTGGAAGCAGCCGACAGCGACCCCAACATCCCCCCCTACGACACAGCCCTCATCTATGACTGCGAGGGCTCCGGCTCCGTGGCCGGCTCGCTCAGCTCCATCGTGTCCAGCCTGACGGATGGCGACCAAGACTACGACTACCTCAGCGAGTGGGGGCCGCGCTTCCGCCGGCTGGCAGACCTGTACGGGCACTAGGGCTGGGGCAGGGAGGGGGACTCAGGGAGCGGGGGGGCAGAACTCGCTCCTGAGTGTCAGGGAATCCTGCGAGCAGGGGGCTGGGTCCTGCCCACCACCAGCAGAACCTGGGAGCAGCCGCCTCTGCAGGACGTGGCCCTAGCCCTGCTGAGGCCCGGGCACAGGACACCTGAACAGCACCAGCCTTGGGAACAAGCTGCTTTTAACAGCAGAGCCAGCCCGGGGCCCAGGCAGCCCCCCACATGCCAGGGGCTGGGCTGGGCGAAGCCAGCTCCTGCAGCTCAGCCCTGCCTCTGCCCACCCACCAGCCCCAGGAGGGCGCAGGGATGAGAGAACTGCACGGAGACCCACGCGCCCAGCTCAACCTGCAATGAGTGCTGAGCTGGGCTCTGGGGGGAGGCTTCTGCCAGGCCACCGTCCAAAGCTGGGGGCAGCACAAGGGGCAGAGGGCACCAGTAACCGGGCAATGGGGAGAGCACCACAGCCAGCCTTAACTTTAGCCTGGCTCTCAAGGGGCAGCCAGGAGCAGGTGGAGGAGAGGGGCAGGGCTGGCAGGGCAGAGGGGGGAGCAGGGGGAGGAGAGGGGCAGGGCTGGCATTGGAGGAGAGGGGCAAGGCTGGCAGGGCAGAGGGGAGCAGGGGGAGGAGAGTAGCAGGGCTGACTATGGAGGAGAGGAGCAGGGGGAGGAGAGGGGCCAGGCTGGCAGGGGGAGGAGAGGGGATGGGCTGGCATTGGAGGAGAGGGGCAGGGCTGGCTACGGGGGAGGTACATTATGCAGTGAGGCTCAGGGCACTCTTGCAGCAGACGTGGAAGGGGCAGAGGCTGGCTAGGAGCCCGGCTCCTGGAGTAGCTGAGCTGGGAGAGGGCAGAGAACAAAGTCCTCAAGGGAGGGGGGGTCCTGCCAGGGGGGCAGCCAGGGAGCTCAGTGCAGGAAAAGGGGAGCAGGGAGTCAGGAGCGAGGGGCAGGGATGGCAGGGGCCCTGGAGCAGCTCAGGCCCAGGACGCCTGGGGAAGCCCCTTCCTGCAGAGGCCCCCAGCAGGGGGAATTGCCCAAGCCAGGCGGCGGGGGGGGCAGGGCCGAGGGCGGGGGGCAGCGGCAAGGCACAGCTAGCCTAGGGAGGCAGGAGGGAGCAGGGCAGCAGCCCCTGGCTGAGCCAGCCCCTCGGGCCCTGCCTGGCTGGGGCGCTCAGGGCAGGGGTAGCCCCAGGCTGGCACCCGAGGAGGCCGAGGGCTGTGCCAGGGCCAGGAGGCTCTGCTCCCTGGGGAGGTTCTGACAAGTGCCAGGTGAGAATCCCCCTACGTCACCCCCAATAAAGAGACTTGGAGTGCGGCACTGGCTGGAGCTGGGTGCTGCATGGGCAGGGGGCACCTGCCAGTGGAGGGGGAGTGAAGTGCTGCTCCTGGGCCTGGGTTAAGGGGGCTGCCCAGTGCTAGGCCGGGGCCCCCCAGCCCAGCCTCCTCCCCCCAAGGCCCCCAGAGAGAAAGCAGAACCAGGCCCAGGCTAGAAATAAGGCACATTTTATTAGTGAGCCACTCACCTGGCCAGGAGGCACAGGGACTGGTGTTCCCTGAGCCAGGAGCCCCCCATTCCCAGCCGGGCTCCTTAGGAGGGGGTGGGGGGCACTCTCCTCCAGGCCCCGCTCCCTGCAGGGCTGGTACGCAGCAGGGGGTGTGGGAGCCCCCAAACACCCCAGTGAGGCAGGCCCAGGCAAGGCAGAGGCAGCAGCCCCGCCGGTAGGAGGCTGCGCATGGCACCTAACAGTCACGCCAGGGCCTCCAGACTAGCAGAAGGAAGCTGCTGCCCGGAGACGGTCGTGCGATGGGCCCCAGGAGGTACCGCACACAAACGACACAGCCCGCTGGGCGCAGGAGACACCTGCAGCCCCAGGGCAGTTAACACTGGGTGCTGTCCCCCCGCCCACAGGGCACAGTCCCCACAGACAGCCCAGCCCAGCTAAATCTCCTGCTGGGGGTCACCACCCGGGGCAGGCTCCAGCAGCAGCTGCCTGTGCCGCGGGGGGGTGCGCCGGTGGGAGCTCAGCATCTTCTTGGTGGCAGTGACGAGGCGGGCGTAGTCCTGGGCCTCGGGGGCGTGGCCGGCGCTGCGGGGCGAGAGCAGAGGCAGCTGGTCCCTGCGGCGGGAGGAGCGGAAGAGCGGGGGCCGGCGCTGACTCTCACCGTCCTGCAGCGACTCGGGCAGGCCCTTGCCCTTGCTCTCGGGCAGCAGCATGATGCTGAGCACGGAGAGGATGGCGAAGGAGGCAAAGACCACGTGGTGCAGGAAGAAGCCCCGGTTGTTCTGGATGTCCATGATGGGCCCGGCCGCTTTGCCCACGAAGCTGGCAGCCATGATGAGGCCCAGCCCAGCGCCCCTGCAGGGGGGGGGACACACACACCAGGCCCTCACCGAGGGACAGCGCCTCCTCCTGACCAGAGCATGGGGCAAGGGGGTGCCACACCCCAACCTGGCGGTTGGGAGAGCTGGGGCTTTGCCTGGGAGCTGGGCTGGGCCTGGCCCCTGCCTGGGCAAGCAGCCAAGCACCACGTGAAGCAGCCCCCAGGCCTGGCTGTGTCCTCCCAGCAGTGGGGCCTGGGCTGGCTGGGGCAGGACACAAGGGTCATGCCCCACGGGACTCTGCCATGGCATGCAGGCAGCGGTTTGGTTGACTTGGGGGCAGTACATCACAGGGAGAGCTGTAGGGGCAGCCCCCAGGCTGGGGCACTGGATCAGACTGGGGGAAGCTGGCTCTATTCCCAAGGGGTCCCCCTGGAAAGGGTTCCCTAGGGAGGTGGTGGAATTTCCTTCCTTAGAGGTTTTTAAGGTCAGGCTTGACAAAGCCCTGGCTGGGATGATTTAGTTGGGGATTGGGTCCTGCTTTGAGCAGGGGGTTAGACTAGATACCTCCTGAGGTCCCTTCCAACCCAGATATTCTATGATTCTTGAGGCTCAATACCCACCCCTCAGAGAACTTGCTACAGCCTCCCCCCCCCGGGAAGCCAGTGCTGCCCCCTCCCCTTCCACCTTTCCGGGCCCTGCATCACGCACTAGCCCATGGCTGCCGTGGGAGACGCGGGGCTGCAGTGCGGGCCCATCTCCTACCTGACCACGGTGGGAAGGACCTCGCTGGCAAAGAAGATGCTGAGCATGGTGACCGCTTGCGAGTACGCGATGCCCAGGACAGAGAGGGTCAGGATGATCCAGTCCAGGAGATCTAGAGTCAGGAGTGAGGGAGCGGAGTGAGCGCACGCCACAGTCCGGCTAGCTGGGGCCTTGGGTGCAGGTGGGCTCCAGGGCTGGCTCCCCCATGGATTTACAACAGGGTTTTTAAGCCCTGCCTGGTGAGTGGGGCAGGGAATGTACCCATGTGCCAGCCCAGGGAGACCGCCAGCAGCCCACGCCTGGCGCCGGCAGCTGCTCCCTGGGCAGGACAGAGGGGCTGAGCACACACCTCAGAATGCCCCCTCCCCAACCAGGGGTCCACCCCTCTCCAGTATCAGGAGTGGGCAGAGCCGCCAGCAGATTCCTTGGCTCTCACCACCCTGGGGGGAGTAACTCCAAGGCTGGGGGGAAGGAGGGCGGGAGGGGGACAAGGCCGCAGCAGGAAGCCAGGTGGTTTGGAGTCCCAGGCTCGCAGCACGACTTACCCACCGGCTGGGGTGGCTTGCCCTGCCCTGGGGGGGGGTGGAGGGGAGGGCAGCTACCTGGGGTTCAGGGCTTGGGTGAGCAGCTGGGCACGAATGCTGAGACTTGTACGCTGGTTCGCGGTTACCGGGAGACCCAGGGAGCTCACGCCCCTCCTTCCCAAGGACCAGCGCCAGCGGAGGGGCAGCCAGCATGCAATGGGGCAGAACTGCTAGTCCCCACGGGCCAGGCCAGGCCCCCCGGCCCTTACACTGCGTCAGGGCCAGCAGCAGCAGCGAGGCGATGCCGGTCAGGATGGTGCAGAGCAGCAGGATGGGGCGGCGCCCGAAGCGGTTGACGGTGACGCACAGGAAGAGGCAGGCCGCGGCCTCCAGCGCCGCCAGCAGGAAGTAGGAGAAGTAGAACCGGGGGAGGTAGGGAGCCAGGTTGCGGGTGAAGCAGTGCCGGATCCCGCTGCCGATGAACCTGCAGGAGGGCAGGGGGCGCTGTTCACGGGGAGGGCAGCCGAACCGCGACCTAGCTAGGGCACGCGACGCGAGTTGGGAGGGTCTCAGCCTGGCCGCCGGGCGAGCTCTGTGCCCATCACTCACCGCCAAGCAGCCTGCACAAGCAGCGAGCTCTGCTCAGACTCAGGGCAGCCGGGACGGGGAGAGCAGGGGGAGGCGGGTTGGAGGGAAGGACGGCACAGAACTGTGCTGGGGGAGCTCAGGGCTGGGATAGCAGGGAGAGTATGGGGGGTGCTGTGGATTGAGAGGCATCAGCAGGGCTGTGTGTACGGGGGAGCCCAATGCTAGAAGAGCTGGCAGCAAGGTTGCCCTGGCACACGGGGAAGTGCCCAGGATAGCCAAGGAGGCATAAGGTGGAGCAGGGAGGCCCATGGTCCAGCCATTCCCTGCCCCCAGCACGTGATGGGTCCTTACGCCGTGAAGCCGAGGATGAGGCTGTTTTTCCAGATGACTCGGGTGCAGAAGACGTCGCAGAGGGTGTGGTAGCGTGGCAGCGGGACCCCGTCAGACTCCAGCTCTGGGGGCGCAAGAGCAGCAGGGTCAGCACAGCTCCGGGGCAGAGCCAGAGGGAGGGACGGAGCCTAGGAACAGCTGGGTCCTAGAGCGTTAGTGTTTCAGCCAAGGCCGGGAGGTGGGGGGACAGGGAGGAGGAGCAGGTTCAGACTGGGGGGGTGGGGGGGAGTGCGCCACATGAGAACAGCACAGGACTCAGCCTGACTTTGACCCGCGGCCGGGGCCCTCGGGCCCAGCTCTCACCTGCTAACAGGTGCTCCTGGCTGTAGAATTCGTCCTCCAGGCTCACGCCGTTGCCCTCAGCAAGGGCTCGCAGACCCTTCCTGCCCTTCTCCAGCTGCCGCGTGGCCAGCAGCCAGCGGGGCGACTCT